CCTCAAGATTAGGTACTGACAGCCTGAGCAATCATTTTTTACACAAAGAATCGGAATAAAAACATTTCCTTTCCGGCACAAAATCAGATGCTTTATTGACCGTAAATGTCTTTTTCGAGTTTCCGATCGGTTGATATATTCATGCTACCTAAAATGAATGCGGCCTAATATAGACCAATTTTAATTTTTGCATATAAAACTCGGCAAGAAAATCGCTGCCTATTTTGTTATATTTTACTGTTGCTGTGTATTCTGTTGCGAATTATTCTGTGAGCTTTGTGCTTGTTGTTGACCCTTCTTGCGTCGGCAAAACTTCTTGTGCGTAGCCCAGTGTCCCTGCTGACATTCGACACTACAGTAGGCGGTGTTCCAGCAACAGTGGTAGATCGCCTGTAATTCGAGTAAACATAAAAACAAAATACTGAAGTATGGACAGCCGTACTTCGCTTTCACATTGCCAACACCATTGCTTTTTCTTCGTAGCAGCCAGCTCCCTTTTATGTTTCTCTGTCAACTTCGCTATTTCCATTTTCAGCGATTCTCTGTACTTGTCTTCTAGTTCAGCTCTGAAACAAGTATGATGAATAAGAAACATGAAGAAGACACAATGGGTATATTACCTTGTCGTATCCAGCTCATCTTTGAATTGTGTCAGCAGTTCAGTACGGATTTTCTGCTGGTCTGACAAGAATTCTTGATGAAGCTGTAAATGGACAACAATTTTGTAGGGCAAGCAAATGTCCTAAAGAATTTGACATTAATTAAAATCGATGTATAGATTTATTTGTGAGGTTTCGAATGCACACAAAAATACTCCACAGATGAAGTACTATAAGCTGCGGTACATCTACGATACATCTGTTTGATTTACAAGCATACTCTCTACCACATAAACTGAAATCTGGTATATCTTACAGTTACTGTTTCAAAATGATTGGGAGGCCACTAAGCCATTACTCAAGTCAAAGGCACGCGCCATACTTGATCCGCTTCATCCACTTCGC